ACGAACGAGCTACTTTTGCTCGAACGATCAGGAAGCCGTTTTAACTCGATTAACATTGCGTTTACACGAGACGGTTGTGGACGATTCAAAGTTAATCGAGCATAGTTGTGTCGAATCAAAAGTTGCAAAAACAGTTTTAACCCGCGTTTACATTTTACGATTTAATTTCCAAGGCGAGGGATCAAAAAATGATGGAACCAATGGAGAGTTTTTTGATCGGCACTGCAACTTGATCCAAAGTTGACCAATTAGCCGTTCCAACCAAAAGTTGCTTAATGCAAACGATTCACTCGTGGATTATAACTCGCAACATCATAGCCTGTTATCCTTTAGGGAAACGTTCGTGAATAATACAACGAATAACGAAGCAATTATTCTGAGTAAGATTAATGTAATAGGGAAAATTGAGTGCCGGAGCAACTGGAATGAGAGTGGTTATTGTGTACCGTAATTACACGTATTATTAACGAAAGTATTATTACGTGAAAAGTGTGTACGATGCATTACGATTTATTGAAACGAATTTCACTTATATGAACGAATTTCACTATTCCAAAAGTTTGGAATGTTTTCGAAGAAAGTCATGTATTATCTAATCTAAGATTTATAATATTATGAAAATTCAATTTATAATCTGACAAAGCTTTGTTAAGAAAATACTTTCTGTAATACAAGAAGAAAACGAAAAAACATTCAAATGTTTCGTTACAACGTTTAAGTAATGAAATATTCAAAATATTAAAACTAATATTTTTTAACTATAAAATTGCAAAAGCCTTCTACTAATTAATCTTGTGATATAATTTATTATACGCGTTCTTTTTCTTCGCCATTTATTAAATTAACAAATGCAATTTTCCTCGAATGAATCGAACTCGTTTCTCTTCGATTCAAATTCCGTTTACACTTTTGAAAGAGACAGCGGCGTATCCACGATCAAACCTGGTCGACGCTGACCACTTGACATCGAGGATTTACCCAAGGCTTTGGAGGGATATTATCCATCCCTTAAATGAAATTCCTCTTACCCTTCGTTCAGACACTTTATAAAAGGGAGGAGAATACATTTTCTCTCCTCCTCCATATTCGACGAAGAGGCTGCACAATTTTCGATTCAATTCCAAACTGAAATCTAATCAAGTAGACTATACTAGATTCGTATCCAATTGCGTTAACAATACCTCCAACGATATCCATCTGATATACCTCTAATAAAAATTGTTCCTAACTTTCCTTGAAAAAAGTTTCCAACTATAAAAAAAAAATCTCTTCCACCATTTTAAAAACGCGAAACAAAGAATATTAGAACAATCGTCTCTTTCTTCTCGTTACTTTTCATAAAAGGATCGTCGACACGAGAGATTGAATCCCTTTGAATTCCCGCGAGAGAAGAGAGAAAGGAAGGAAGGATCTCGATACTCGCGTTTCCTGTTCCGCGATGGTACTTTCCAAGGACGAGTGTGTACCAAGGCTCGTGTGTGCGACACGCCTCGACACGGTGGAAGAATAGTGAATCGAAATCCTGAATCGAATTGTTGTTGTCGAGACCAAACCTTTCCAGACGCCTATCGAGCACGGAGTGACAAGGGATCCTTTCGAGTCGATCCACGAAGATACAAGCCTTTCTCGAATAAATCCAAATTACTCTTTCCTCCATTATTTTCGAACATTGAGAGAAAGAGACTCTCTGTTTGAGAAAACTGTTGGTGAAAAGATTGGATAAAGTGAAAAGAGAGAGAGAGAGAGAGAGAGAGAGAAATAGACAATTCTTCAATTTTCATTCGAACATTCGAAACGTTTTAAAAGGAATTGGTGATCGATCAATTCGGTTTACTCTCCGCGAAAGATGCGAGGCGAACGGTGAGAGACTCTGCTTGGAGACCAGGAATTATTAGAAACAGAGAACAAGTTGCGACGCGGTGAAGAAAGGGATTGACCGTCGAGAGAGAGAGAGAGATAGAAAGAGAGAAAGAGAGAGGATAGCAGAGAAACATGGGGAAGAAGAACAGCAAGTTGAAACAGGATACCATCGATCGACTCACCAGTGACACGTATTGTGAGTATCCAATGGTTATTACTTTATTCGAAACGCAATTTTCATGCCGCTTTGTCAATCTTGTTTACACCCCCAATGGCGAGATAGACTCCATCCACGCGGTCTGAATCAATTTTATCGATATTTCGTGTCTTTTCTCTTTGCAGATGATACGATTAAATATTTGCCGCCCTCAATTATTAAAATAATAAAGATTGTTACTTATATTTATTATTATTTATGTAGATGTTTCACGATTACAAAACGATTATTTTTCTTACCAAAGTATCAATTTAAGGGAATAGATGAAATTTTATAGTTTTATATATATAAGTTTAAATATGAGTGTGAATTTTTAAATGATGATTTGAAATTTTTACAAATGGCGTATCTATATTAAATATTAGAAAAATTTTCAAAACGTTCGATGAAATCTCAACGATTTGTTAACGAGATAATCGGAATTAAAGGAAAATATCCATCGTCTTTATCCTATCCGTGTTTATTTTATCTACGAATTACAAATTAATGGAAAACGACGCGAGGGATTAAAAGATGTTATCGAACAACGCGTACAATTGCTTATATTACTACGTTTCACTTTGTCGTTTCATTGAGAATTTAAGTGTTTCCTTTTGTTCCATTTACATTGTTCTTTATTCCATGCTTATAGAATAAAAACCAAGGAATCAGAAAGAACGTTGTACAAAATGTATTTCCTTGAACAACATTCTCTTAGAAACACTTTTTTCTAAACCCTTGTAAAATAAAAAAATATTTTACGATCCAACTATTTAAAGATTGCCATCGATCAATTGAATTCTGCTCGTGTAATATCATTTACTTCTTTTTTTTTTAAATTCTCTTGAAATGTTCCATTAAATTATCACCAAACAAAATTGATACTATCACGTGACTTTAATCGGCTTTTCGTTCGAAGTTGAATGTTATGCTCTCTCGCATTTTTAAAGTCCCAACTTCAAGTTGTTCACGAACTTCACAACCTCGCTTCGTTTCCAACTAGGAGGCCCACGATGCATTCACGTTGCACTTCAATTTATCGTTCACAAACGAACAATTAAATCTCTAGTTTTCGATTTCAAACAATTATCGAAAATTGGATTAAAAATTGGTGAAAATCAAGTATTCTCGGCTTTGAGCAAAGTCTTGTTTTTTTTTTTGTTTTTATTCAAAGCAAATTTGCACGAATCGTTAAGAACCTTGGCTTTTGTCAAGGAAATCTTTGATCGATCAAAGGTCAGGGACTCGAGCTTTCAATCGACTACGATCAACGACATTAGAACGGATATGTAAATTACCACATCGAAGGATTCAAGGATGACCTCTTAATAAAGAAAGATCCTTGATCTGAAATTCTCCCACTTTATTGGATCGGCAATTTATTTTTAAATACGTATGTATGGCGAGAGCTATTCGATTATTGTTAAAAATTTACTTCTTTCTTTTTCTCTTCTAATTTCATTTCTGAAAAATTAAATTAAACATCCGAGTAAACTAGATATTGAAAAAATTAGATTAGCCTTTTCTGTTAATTATTCACGTTTGCTGAAGCAATTCCATGATTTTTCGGCATGTACAACTTTCTAAATATACTGGATGATCCACTCAATTCTAGCATTTTGTTTCTGACGACATTGAAAGATATTTCACGTGAAAGTTTCAAATTCTTTTTTTTTTAATAAATCAATCAAACCACAAATAACCAGTGCATTCCATTTAAAAAAAGAACAAAGTTTACAAAACGAAAATAAAAAAATAATATAATCGAACTTTTATTCGAAACGACAAAGTTAAACGAGAAAACAAATGTAAATTTTTTCCAAATTCTTCGAATTGGAAATATGGACGTTTTATAAATATGGACAATGAAAAATATATACGCGTTGATTACGAAACCCAAACACTTTAAATTTTAAATCAAGTAACTTGTATAAATATTCCGTGTATATACCGAATTCTAATCTCTTTTATACTGCGAATTATCGTGATTGATACGACGAAATATCGATCATACTCAATCAAGATCAATTCACGCTGTTTTGCATCCAGTTTCCATATACTTATTCGTATGCGTATTCGTACAAGTATTTATAAAGACGACATTTGCATCGCGTGAAAGAGGCTTAAAAGAGACTTGTCGTCGGTCTCTTTGCATGTTGCGTTGTGCACAACTATATTACACGCGCCAAGTTGTAACTGCTGCGTTATTGCTATTGCGTTGTTTCGTTACACGGGCTGTTAATATATTCATACCTTTAGAAATAAAACGAAAGTTTTGGTATGCATAAATGTCAGTTGGGATTCATTTATTAACTTATGTGCAATTTAAAGTTTCCGTTAGATGGAGCAAGATGAAGATAAATTAAATTGGTCGTCTGATAGGAAATTTTGCTCGTGCATAAAATAAGTGAATAACAATAAAGGTATATATTAATTTAATTAATCTGTTTATATTATGCAATATATGCAATGTATTTGTCGAAAATACGTAAAATCGTGATATTTACTTATCCTACTGTCTCTGGAATCGTCTTTCCATTAATAAAATAGATAAAAAGTAAAATCTTAATTTACAAGATTCTTGTGTAAATAACTTGTTCCAATGGAAAGAATACACGCGCAATTTGCAAGAACAACAACAAACATGTTCTTACTCGTCTGCAACGGACACGTCACGTCATTTTTCCCCTCTTAGTCCCGAAGAGTAGCACTTCTGGTTACAATTGTTGAGCGGAGCGTGACGAATCCGTGAAACTTTTTAAAAAACTTTTTAAAAAGACGAGGTTTTTTTTTGTCAAAGGCGAGAATCGATATCGTTGGTCCAGAAAGTTACGAAAGGCGACTGAAAGTCGTCTCTTTCGAGAGGTCAGGTTTTTCTTATAAATATCGTCGAGTGGTGGTGAAAAGTGGATCGATCGATGATAAGACGAATCGGTTACAATCGGGAATGGAATAAGATATTCTTTTCTTATGCGAATATTTTTTCGCCACGTACGGCAATGAACTTGGTTAACTCGATCGAGGAAAGTGTTCTCAAGTTATAAATATTACGATTGGAATAACACGATTGGATCGAGGGATTGTTGTGACTCCTCTCTATCATTTCTCAGATATCAGAAAAAATCGAGAAAATTGGAGAAAAATTATGAATAATTAGAGTAATTAGAACGAATCATTTAATGCTTTCAAGACTCGATATTTATTTTTGAACACCGAGTATAATGATATATGATAATATTAAGAAAAAGAAGAAAATAGGTCGAGCATAATTTTCACGAGATAACTCAATTCTCGATATTTCATTTCTCGTTCTCGTCGAAAATTTACAATAATTGATTTATGTAAAAATATATTATAATTTTATTATTTGTCTCGTAAATCGAAGATTAGAAGATTGCGTGATTAATATCGTCGATGATTTATCAGCTTTTAAATCCAATACAAATCTCTGCACGAAATTAAGTCGTTTACGCAAAAGTAAAATTGATTTACGAGGGAAAATTAATGCGTGTCCTTAAAAGCAACATTATCAAACTTTCCTAATCTCTGAAAAGAATTTGCATAAAATGAACATATTTGGAACGTTGGAACTTTTTTTTTTAAAGTTTTACTTTTTTTCGATAATGGACACTGTAAATTTTCACTATAACTAGCAAATACAGTGTCCATTATCGAGAAATAATAAATTTCGCTCTCGTTTAACAAGTTTATTATATAAAACAGGAACGAAAGTTTTTGCAAAGAAAAGTGCTTAATACTTTCATGATTTTGAGACATTTCTATCATATATATATTTTCTACGTTTTTATAATGTAGTATTTTGTCTATATCTAATTCTATGAGACTTGTATATGAAATCCATAAATAAATATCGATCGATTGTCGATTATTATAATACTCCACGTTTTATTATTTTATCTTTTTCTATTATACATCTGGAAAAATTATAAAAACTTTATTAGTTGCAGAAACTGGAATATGGAAAATGAAATAATTTTTATCAAAGACAGTCACAGTTATAAAAATCTCAAGAAAGTTTGTCAGATCAAGCAACCGGTGTTTTAATTCCAGATGATTTTACAATACCTTTGAGCCACTATACGCGATTCAGAGATTGAACACAGGTCGTGTATATTGTAGTCTTTTATTTCTTATTTGGAAAAAAAAAAAATATTGAAAACTCCTGAAAGACGATGCAATTCTATTTTAAACTCATTGCTAATTCGCCAATTTTTATATAATAATTAAAATATATTCAAATATCCAATTAATAAAACAATATAAACATATCAAACACAAAATTATAAATGAAATTTCCACTTTCTATTTCTAAGATTATGTAAAAAGCGTGAGAAAAAACTAAAACTTTTATCTCAGAACCAACTCAGAAAACAAAGGAGAGCGTGCCATTGAAATTGCTTTTTGTTTTATCCCGATATCTCAATCCGATCCCGAGATATAAGGATTTAAAATGTCCATAATAACAGTACAGAGATTATGAATGGGCCCGCGACCCAGTGACCTACATATTTTTCCCAGAAATGCGTAAGTCTTCCTGGAATAATGTCTGTCATTTGTCTGGAGTAGGGATAGGTCAGTGAGATAAGGTGCGAGCGAGAGATTCGAGTAAGCGACGAGGGCGGAAATAGTAAACGACTGAAAAATTAATTTTTTCTTTACGCGACGATATCTCAGGAACCGGAAGTCGTATCGAGATAAACAAAAAGGCGTTTTAAAGAGCAAGGTTCAACGCTTCTAATGATCGTTTACCCGTTGATAAGGAATCAGTATTTTCGGAATTACGGAGATTCAAAGTTTCTCCAATTTTAAAGGAGTTAATCGGACTTCAGATAAACGATTAAAAATTACACCTTCTTTGTACGATCATATCTCGGCAACCGGAAGTCGTATCGAGATAAATAAAAAAGTATTTTAAAGGTAAGATTCGACGCTTCTAACGATTTTTTATTCATTGATAAGGAATCATTATTTTTGAAATT